GAAACGGTAGAGCTCCTAAGTCATCAAATGGATGCAGAGCGGTCTCCGTTTCCTTCTCCGTCGTCGACATCGACGGTATCGGAAGCTCCCGACATCGGTCCACGTCGGCACCGATATACTTCACGTGACACGCAGCGTCACCCTCCACGTCTGCACACTCAATCCGTCGATATCGACAGCCGACATTACAGGGACGATTCTCACAGACAAGATACTGCCTTGTCTCCCAGACGTCCACGGTCTAGAAGCCGCTCCCCCAGAGTCTTCCTACCTCCCTCGCCGCCAATGTTGTGGGATCAACGACAGTTGAGGTACCTCTATGGGGCTTATCCACCATCCATGCCGTGGTTGACTCCAGCGGGCTATTTTGATTGGAATCGCTACTCGACCCACTCCGTTCATAGGTCGAGATCCCCACACAAGTTGAGACCTTCAGCATCTCTGTCGCGTCCTCCTATGGCCAATCCATCCCACCATACTCTGGAACCAAGTCGTCCACTCAATCCTCCGGTCACTCCAAACCCTGTCGTTCCTGTCGTCCAACCGAAACCAGTACCTTCTCAACAGGACACTTCGGTCCACACACCACAGCAAGACTCCTCTGACTTCATGGAAGAAGACTCAGATACGGAGGCTTCTGAGGCTCATACCTCTCCTGACCATACATCTCCCAACCAAGATGTTGCGGAGGACTTACCTGTATCTCCATCGGACTACCTTACCTCTTACTCTGATCTAGTCAAGAGAATGGCCCACTCTTTAGGTCTTTCTGTCGTCCAGCAACACCCACAGGAGACAGATTCTGTTTACGACATAGTTCAGCTTGATAACTCGTCCACCTTGGCATTGCCCATGTCCTCAGTACTCCTGCAGGCAGCAAAATCACCATGGCTCAAACCTTCGTCTGCTCCTGTGTCCACAAGGAGATTGAATCACATGTACAGAGTCCAAGAGTCAGATGCCGAATTCCTCTTCTCTCACCCACACCTTAACTCAATGGTGATAACATCCTCCTCCAAATCTAAAAGAACGCATTCCGCTCCTTCGGATAAGGAGGGTAAGAAATTGGATGCCTTCGGCAGGCCCCTCTACTCTACAGGAGCGTTAGGAGTCAAGGCCTCTAACTACCTGGCCTGTATGAATCGATATCAGTATACTCTCTGGGAATGGTTCTCAGAACTTCTTACCCACCTCCCAGATGACAAACTTCAGGCGGCCAGAGTCATTCAAAAAGAAGGCATGGTGTTGGCAAAACAACAGCTCAACACTACCAAACATGTCCTCGAAGCATCTTCACAAACAATGGCTTCTGCAATAGCTCTCAGAAGACATTTCTGGCTCCGCAACACTAACCTCCCGTTAGACACTAGGTCTTATGTGGAAGACCTTCCCTTCCATGGCCTGGGTCTCTTTAATGCCAATACTGATTCTACTCTGCAGGAGTTGGATAAGAGTATAAAGGTATCTCGAGCTCTAGGGGTCTCATCCTCTTCAAGACAACAATACCGTCCTCGCACCTGGTCGAGATCCTGGCAGAGGCGTACCCCAACTCATCAGTCTCCAGACACACGATGGAGACCAAGAAGGTCCTCGGGAGGCCAAAAACCTGCCTTCCAGAAACCAAAATTCGGCTTCGGACAACAAGCTTCTCGCACCAAACAGTCCAAACCCTCCAAACAGGGTTTTTGACTTCCCAGTCACTGAGTCAGCTCAAACCCGTCTGCCACCCTTCCTTCAAAATTG